AACTTTATTTGATTTAATTACTAAATTATAAAATAAGAATAACCATACGTATAAGCAATCTTTAATATTGGAGAATTAGTGGTTCACCTAATAATTTATGTTATGTTGCTTAAGCAAATCTTGCTCAAACCCTAACGTTAGTAAGGAACAGTTTGAAAAAGAAAAAAGAATTTTTTTTTTAATATATAAAATATCCAACCAGCTGATGTATAAGAAATAATTTATGTTATGCAGATGGGAATAATTTTATAAATTTTTTTGTTATTTAATACATTTAAATTTTCCTTAAAAAATAAAATAAAATAAAATCTTACCTCGAACTGAAGAAGCCAATTGTGTTCTCCGGCGCCGAATCCTCTATGGAGATGGTACGCAGGGGGACTCCCGTCCAAGCAAACTGCGAATGTTCAAAACCAGAAATTAAAAATCAAATTATATTCATTGAAGCTTCTCCGTACAAATTCAAAGGCTTACCAGCGCCATGAGCCGCAGCGTCTCGAACCAGGGTCATGCCAACCAGAAGGCGGTCCTCCAAGAAAACACAAGACGGCGCCGCCCAAGCTATGAAAATCAGTAAACTCAGCAGTTTTATGCTCTTCATGTTCATATTTACTTACAATGCATCTCTGTTTTATACCCAAAAAGAGGATGCTCTGTTTTCTGGATTGAAAACAGAGAGAATAAAAATAATTATAAAAAATAAAAAAATAAAAAAACAGATCTCCCAACCGAAGAAGTATATATCTTGGCGTTACAGGGACGGCGGAGGGGTGATATAAGGAACTCGATGGAGGCGGGGGTAGTGGTGGCGCTGTTTATGTTGTTGATATGGAAAGGCCGCGGACGGAGGAACCGGGGCGGAGGAAAGAGGGTATGAATGTGAGTGGAGAATCAAGTAAGATGGTTTTCTTTTTGCTTGAGGATTAAGTTGGAGGGGAATTAGTTAGGACTTGGACCATGGATCTCCAGGGACAGCCGCTTGGGGTTTGATGATTCCGTTGAAATTCATGACCAATATGACCGTGACTTGCGCTTTATAAAGTAGAATTCTCTTATGGTGTCTGACTTGATATTGTTCCTAGTTGAGGTCTTTGGGGGGTTAAATATAATATTTCAAAGCATGACTGACTTTATTCGATGTTAATTATGAACTTTAGAAATTTAGAGATTGAATGTTACTACAAATTTATTATTTTGAAATATAGGGATTTTGCAATTAAACTAGTGAATTTTATTAATTTTAAAAATTATTTATAGCATGATACAAGTGGGTGGATTAAGAGATAGGAGAAGAATATTTTTTATTAAATAATTCAAAATTAAAAAAATTTATAACATAGTATTGTGATTTAATATTTTTACAAGGATTTTTTTAAAACACATATTAATGACGTAATTAATATATATTTTTTACAATAAATTTATATAAAAAAGGTTGAACTATATTTCAATATTATTACCAAATCAAAAGATATTAATTAGTTAATTGATTAAATTAAGATTAATATTTTTATATATTTTTATTTTAATTATAAAAATGCAACGATTTAAATAATTTAGTGGTCATTTTCTTCCGTCGGAAGTAAGAAGTTTTGAGTTTAACTTGCATGGAAAAGTAAGAAGTTTTGAGTTTAACTTGCATGGAATGTAGGTGAGGTGGGGTGGGGTGGGATAAAACATAGGAGATGATTACTTTTCATTGTGTAATTAAAATAAAAAAAATTAATTATAAAAAGTATATTTATTACATTTTTAAACTATACATATTACAAATGTTTTATTGGTCCCTTTTAAATTAGAAATCATAACTTATTTCTTTAATTCAAGATCTCACCTTTTTCTTTAAAAAAATCACAATCATAAATTAATAATTATTCTCTATGTACAAAGGATAGATAAACCTTATTACAAGAACTATTTTTACAATGTACCAAAAAAAGAACCATTTTCAGAAAAGCATTATTCATATAACAAATTTACAAAATCTGTAATTGAATCATAGATCATTAATAATAATATTTTTGTTTATTGTTGCTACAATGTTTTTTAACAAGGCTAAATGGGAATATGTCAAAGCTAAATAAAAGATTTCAAATTAGATGTTAATTATGAATTTTAGAAATTAGAAACTGAAGTTACAAATTTATTGTTTTAGATTTTGCAATTAAACTAGTAAATTATATTAATTTTAAAAGTTATTTATAGATATTATTTTTATATGGTATCATGATTAAGTATATCTTTACAAAAGCATTATTCAAACAATAAATTTACCAAATATTATTTAACTGTTGTTATAATGTTTTCTCACAACAGTTTTGTACAATTTTCGATGAAAACCACCACTTTCTATTCGAGGAAACACATGAATTAATATATAATTTACGTATTTTATAAAAAAATATAATTCACTTATTTAATATTATAAAGTTTGTCTAACTTATACTTTTATCTTTTTATAATTAATTCACATTAAAATTACAAAAATTAACATATATTTTAACATTATTGATATGTAGATTATTTTAATTGATTAATTAATTAAATTAAAATTAATATTTATATTTTTAATAAAAATTAATTATGAAAATGTGCATCTATTTTTGCGAACCAGATGATAAGATATTAAAAAATATCAAGATGATTTTAAGTTGTTAGATAATAGATATTAATTTTCGCATCAGTTATTAAGTATTTTTAACAAGCCAAACAAAACCTATATTTAGAGATGGGACTGTTTTATATTTAAATTTTATACAGAAGTTTTATATTTAATTTTTTGTTTTGATTTTTATTATGAAAGTATTCTCAAATCAATTTTTACAGGTATCAAGTCTTCAAACTAATTCTCATTAATTGATGTTACCCACACTTTTGCGTCTTTTAATATGATCAACATGTGATTTTAAGGGAGTATTCTAACATTAATCTTGAATATTAAAAAAAATAATTTTTATAAATATTAAAAAAAATAATTTTTATAAATATTAATTTTAAAATTTAAAATTTAAATTTAATTTATAAAATAACACTTGTTTATCAATAATTTAAATCCTTAGAGTTAATATAATGTACTACAGACTAGTTTTTACATACAAGTATTGAGAAAAAGTGCAAATAAGGATTCCAACTATACATTTTTTTTTATTTAAAAATATTAACTTTGTTATTTTTTAAATAAGGATGTCAATTTTTAATTTTTTTCTATTTAAAGATATCAATTTTCAACTTTTTCTATTTAAGGATTAATTGGTGGTGATAATTACGTCAGCTAACATATTTTTTTAAGTTAAATACCTAAATTGGTCCCTCAACTTTTATTTTTTAACCAATTTATCTTTGAACTTTAGACAGTATTGAAAACGTCCTTCAACTTCAATTTTCAATTAATAAAATTATTTCTTAATTCATGGAAGAATTAATTAACTTTTATTTAATTTTATTAAATGGTAGGTGGGACTAATTAACTGGGAAAATATATTAATTGTTTTAATTTTTAAATATAAATAAAGTAAAATAAGAATTAAAGTAGTTTTTAAATTATTTAAAATTAAAAAAATCAACATAATCATTTTTTACATGATGGATTTTCCGCATAATATTGAAAATGTAAAATAGTGAATCACTTAGCAAAAAAATTAGCTATATCAACATTTAACTGACGGAAAGATGAAATTGAAAATTGAAATTGAAGAAGTTTTCAGTACTCTCTAAAGTTTAAGGATGAATTGGTTCAAAAATAAAAGTTGAAGAACCAATTTAGATATTTAACTTAAAAAAATATGTTAGCTGAAGTCACCATCAGTACCAATTAATCATTAAATAGAAAAAATTAAAAGTTGATATCTTTAAATAAAAAAAAATTAAGTTGACATCTTTATTTAAAAAATGATAAAATTAATATTTTTAAATAAAAAAATATAAAATTAAAATCTTTATTTGCACTTTGACTGTATAAGTATTACAAAAAAAAAATTATTATTATATAGAAAAATATAGTTTTGGTGTCATCACTTTCAAGGGGAGTGAAAGTGCGTGACGGAAAAATGAAAAACGCTACTTTGGTTGGAATTTTTAGGTGGAAAAATGCAGGTGGCCCTGGCCCCTAATTTGGTAACCATTTTCTTACTGACGTGGGCTCTTTTTTAAATAAATAAATAAGTTATACAATAAAAAAAAAAAACAATTCCTTTTCATTTCTTCACACATTCGTCATTTAATGATATTTAAAATCTCTTACTTTTCAAAATCTCCTACTAATGGCTTGTTTGGTGTGGCTTTTAGGAGTTTCAGTTCTGGATATTATTTATGTTTCATAAATTTAAATTTTTCTCTTAAAATTTTACACTTAAATATTTTTTTAATATCAAAAAACTCTTAAACAATAAAAGTTCAAAAGTTTCAAATACAAACTTCTCATAAACTCTCTTTTTACTTACTTTTCACTCACTTTTTCACATTTCTAAAAGTTAAAACTCTATTTTTCTCTCTAATAAAAATTTAAATTTATCATTTATAACAGTACTAAAAAAGTAAAAACTCTCACAAGTCATACCAAACAGACTCTAAATCATTTTAGCTTGTTGACTCTTTTTGTTCAGAGCAACGGACAGCTTTTTCTACATCTTTTTAATAAAAACAAGTATTATGTACCCAAAAAAAAAAAAAAACAAGTATTAATATTTCATATATCATTTAATACATATTCACCAATAAACAAATTATAATTACAATAAATTAAATTTTTAGGTTTAATAATTTGTTTTTAAATTTAATATTTAAATTTAATATTTAAATTTAATTAATTCAGTATTTGACACTCACTAATTATTTTAAAAAAATTTCTTATCCCTTCAAATTCTCTTATATTAAAAAAAACAAAACAAATTATAGTTACATTAAAACTACATAAAAATATTGTGTAGTTTGCTTTTGATGTAAGCCGTACAACTTCGGTTATTAATGTAAGGGTTTCTCGACGTCCGAGCTTTCCTCCTACAAATCAATGACTAATTTTTTTAGTGAGAAAGCAAAACCCATTCTCATGGAACTAATTACAACTTTTATGATTAAAAAAAAAATTATGCTGAGAAGAGGTTACTCACTCTAAAATCATTGCCATTTAAATAAATAAATAAAAACTTAATTACTAAATGAGTTTGGTGTGTTTAGTCCAAATTGGTTAAATAAAATGCTAAGTCAGGGATGAAATATCTCAAAGTTCTCTCACTCTAAGTTTATGAAAATATCAATAATAATTTAATCGAGTTAACACCTTCAACTTAAAATTTTAATTTTAAATTAAAATTCAAGGTTCAAACTTCATAACATTAAACAACTAATCCAAGCAACTAACCCCTCTATTACTTTAAAAAAAAAAAAAAGCCTATGTATATATAGATATCTTAATAAAGTTCTTAATGAATCAGTTCGGCACAGGAACTTATGATGAGAATTATTGCCATTTTAGATATTTCTTCTTCTAAATCAAACACAAACCCTACCATATCATCACAGAGCTAATTAATTAAACTTGAACCTGAAGTTTCTATATCTCTATTTTTTTATACTTTATTGACCAAATATTATAGTTATAATTTCATATAATATTTTAAATTTACATTACCAACATGTTATTATATTATTAAATTTTTTATTTAAGGGTTTTTTGTGATATTTTATGTAATTATTAATTTAATAACATATTGTAGTTATAAATTTATAATTTTACATATCATTATAATGATATCATTGCTATTTTCAATAGTTAAACTAGTTCAGTTTGAGTGTTTTTAAAAAGAATATTAGCTAAAATCCTTGACAAACTCTTGTGTCTTCATAACCATAACCCATCGAATTCATTGATTCGGTCATTCAAATAACCCAGCAAGTCAATTTCCCCAGCCTGCTTTGCAGCTCTCTGGGCCTAGCTTTGACTTCAACTTCGGCAATTCCAATATTTGTATTGTACCAAAAGAAGTAAAGAACAAGCAGCCCAAAACAAATTTGAGA